GCTCATATTCGCGCATGAAGTCCAAATATTCTTGTGCAAGTGTGGGTTGACGAGCAAATTTACGAATTAGCGACGAAAGTCGGCGTTCAGCTATGCTGCGAGAGTCGCCTATTTTAATAGGCGGGCCCTCTTTAAAAGGGAGTCGCACGACATATCTGCCATCTGCTGTTCTAGTATGCGTGCGTTGAAAGTGATCCTCGCATTGTTTATCTTCTATGGACGCATGAACATGTTGAGGAGTTTCTTCAACCTCCCAAAACTTACATAATTGCCGTTCCAAGGAGCAGCAGTGAGCAACTGCATGATACCTTTGTTGTGAACTGGGTAATGGTGAGCCTTGAGGTTGGGCTCCGACATGCGATGAAACCAAAGTAGAGCCGACTACATGGGTGTTTTGTATGACATGATTAGGGATTGACGTAGGTCCAGATAGAATCCACCCGAAATGCGATTGTATAGCGTCTGGTTGACCTATGGGTCCATTGCGTATATTGACAAGAACCTTGCTATACAAATCAGCTCCAATAATGAGGTCAATAGGAGTTGATCCAGTCGGATCGTCATCCGCTAAGGTCAAGTTGGAGATGTGTTTCCAGTCACGTAATGACGAAGCGTGTCTGGGAGCATACTTCGTCAATGCTCTCATGATGTAAGCTACCGTGGTGAAGGTTGGCTCAGGTTTATCGCGAGGCGAAATATTAATTAACGCGGCAGATCGGCATGTACCGGTATCTGCACAGCTAATCCCCGAAGTTGAAGTAAATGTTTGCATACGAGGTAAGCGTAAAATTTGCGCTACGCGTTCCGTAAGAAATGTGAGTTCTGAACCACCGTCAAGTAAGGCTCTGACAGTTAAGGAACGTCCAGAAAGCGAATGTATTTTCACCGTTGCCGTAGACAACACCACAGGAGTCGGTGATGTAGTTAACGTGACCGCTGAAAGCGCTGTGACATTTGATATATTAGTAACATTCTGCGAACTCGATGACGCAGGAATGCTCGTTGTTTGTTGCAATGAGCCCGAGTCAACGTGGATCATTGTGTGATGCCGCTTGCTACATTTGCGACACGTGAATTTACTCTGACAATTAAGTGCTACGTGCTTATCGCTTAAGCAATTGAAACATCGCTTAAGTTTCTTTATCAATTCGCGTCGTTGATCCGTGCTCATTGAAAGAAATTGTTGACACTTAGAGAGAAAGTGAGATTGTTTACAAATTGGACATGACAAATTAACTGACGCAGTTGCGGTGGCGCTTGTCACTCTCGAATGTGACTTCGTTTTATCGTGTTCGTGAGGATGGAGTTCCTCAAGCGCTATAGCGCGCGAAGATATGAAACGTATCAAGTCTTTGTACGTTGGAGGATTTTCGTTATCGCTACTCTTCAATTTCCACGCTCGACGCGTAGCAGAATCAAACTTTTGTGAAATGAAGTATACTAATATATCGCTTACAATATCCTCTGCTGTACGATCAAGACGTTTCAATGTCGCTAACGCTTGTTCCGTTTTATCTCGCAACTCGTGAAGTTCTGACGCTGATTCGCGAGTCATCTTTGGAAGATGATATAAGGTCGACACATGTACTTCGATCAACCGTCGTTTGTTCTCGAAACGCGTGGTTAACGCTTTCCACGCGACCTTAAAATTTTCGGCGGTTACTTTGATTCCTGATATCGCATCGCGGGCCGGACCTGTCAAACTAGAGATCAAAAAATGCATACGAGTGAAATTTGACAATTCTTTGTTATCTATAATCAACGACTGAAAACGGTCGCGAAAGGTCTCCCAATCCTCGTTTTTTCCAGAAAAAGGCGGTAATTTAATAGGAGGGAGATGCTTTAACGAGAATGACGATGCGTCCATTTGCGCAAAAGAAGTTTCGAGGGATGTATCTCGACTTACGACAGGAACCAGGTCTTCTAGACATTCGTTCATATGATCCAGGGCTGATTGATAGAGATCTTCGTGAAGGTCGAATTGATTCTTCTTGAAATAATTAATTGACCCTTGATCATCCTCTGGAACAAGTTGAAGCAGAATGGTGTGATTGTGCACACCTTGAGTCCATTGAGCTTGTAAAGTCGCAATCCGTGAGCGAACCCTTGCGGCCGTCAAATTAGAACGACCAATCTTTTTGAAATTGTCGAGAGCTCGAGCAATTGAGTGGAAGATAGTTTGCTGATTTGCAAGAGCGTCTTCCATTTTGACACTATAGTTGTTTATGAATATGTCACTAACACGATTGTCTACTTAAACGCGATTACTTGACTGACTGTATCTCGAATCACGCTGCACTTAAATATCACTGGTGTCCTTAATTCAGTGTTCTCGATTCGTCATTACTCTCCCATCCGGCTCGAAGGACCAAAAAATGTTTGCGCGTACGCTCGATTGCTGACGTTGAACGCTCACGCACGAAGCTACGGATCCTGACAATCGGGTTGTAAATCCGATCGTCGATATCCGTCTCGTGTATAGATTGCACAGGAAGATTCAAAGTGGACTGTATCTTAAGGAGGGTGGACGCGCTCCGATTGGTGCGCAGGATGGGTAACGATTTAAGCCACGTGCCGAATCGAGAACCAGAATACGGAATTATATGCACAAATTACACAAAAACAATCCATTTATTAACTAAATTTGTCCGAGAGTCACAATGTACATAAACGCAAATTAATTTGAAACCTTTACATAAAATCTTTATCTATTAACGAATAAAATAGTCACCGCGAAAACACGTACGACGTGGTTGTTAAGCAGTCCGAAATGTCTCACTATATGGTATCTAGCATGTGTTGCATGGACACCACCGAAAAACTATTTGTTGCATAACAATTGCTAGTTACGATGAACACGCTCGAAACTCGTGTATCGAATCGTTCGAAATCTCACATTAAGATTTCGTACACGTTGCCGATTGCGGCGAATGCGATATTAAATCGCGAACCGAAATGTTTCAATTAACATGAAGAATCACTGATCACATAAATGTTACAGTGCGTTGAGCACCACGGGCTCGAAGGGATGAAAAAAAGGAACGCAAACACAATCACGACATCAGGTATCAGTCCCAGATGACTGATCACGTGATCTGCGCGCTCCAACTCACGTGATCTACGCGTGCCAAGCGAACACGCGCGAGCCTCATGTATACAATTATTACGTTCGTGGAAACAATCGGACTTCGGCACCTTGATATTTCACCATTGCGTGAATTCTGGTCCCAAATCACTGAATTCCGCTTCGTTAACAATGTTTTGAGCGCAAATTTTATGTCGCGTATATAACGGCGCACCTTGTTGCTACCGTTAATTAGCGAATGTCAAAGTGAACGTATTTCACATCTCACTTATCACTGAATCACAGCAGAATATCAATCTGATTATTTTTTTTATTAATCAAACGAACTACGAACAATTAGAATCGCGACGGAAAACCCACATGTGACTAATCGCAAAGCCGTGCCAGGAGCGAATGCCCAGGTTCGATGACGAGGCAGTTCATCCCCGATCGATTCGATAATCGAACGCTTGAAGCGCGGCGTGTAGGTTCAGTGCGTGCTGCCCCGTGCCGGATTAACTCAAAAATTATAGAATTTCAAATTATCGACCTACTTCTTCATTCTCTTTGAACAAATAATAAAGTTCTTGACCTGGGGTCAACTTACTTCTGAACAACAGATGTGGATTAATCAGTTATTTAGAGTACAAAGCAATTATATAAAATATTTTTTTATATAAATAGATAAAAATATAAAATTACATAATGATGGGTAGCAGAGTATAAAATAAAATTGCAACTCTAATTAATATTATTCTAATGTTATTAATATTATATTTTTAATTTTTATTAATACAATATTTTATATTTTATTTTTCTAATTTATACGACCAATCGTGTGTCGATTATATTTCTAATTTTTATTAATATTATTGTACAGTTGGAAGAAAAGTTATGTGAAAATAATTATAACTATATCTATGTCTTTTGTAGATTTAATAGATAAACATTCGCGTTATCACATGTGCGTCATTCGTTACATACAATTATACAACTCTATTTTGAATTACAAAACAAATATTTAATTATAATATAGGAATCTGTATGCATATATATCTGAATGATCATAATCGATTTAATTTCGATTTTAAAACATATTTCTTTTTTTATCCTTTTTAATTAAAACCGAAACTCGAAATGATGAGAAGTACAGATATCTGGGAGAAAGTAGGTCTTTCGTGATTTATTTGGGTAGAGACTGAAAATTTTGTTTGCTTCTCGCCTACTTTTATGATGTTAGTCATCACTTACGTTTCCTCGAAGTATCGTTGCATAAAACATTTAAAATCCGTGTTTTCCAAATGTTGAATGTCATTCGTAAAATCATAAAATAAAAAGAAAAAAGAGCACTTATATTAAATATAAAAATACACGGTATTCAATTTCGTGTTGCATTTATAATTTACTCTGTTAATTTTATGCAATTTGTATGCAAGCTTGTAGGTATTAACATTCTTCTTTAACTCAAAATTAAACAAAAGGCAATATTTTATTTTATTCAATCCGTTAATTTCTTCTGTTTCTTTCTTCAAATTTTATTATTAAAAAGTTCTGCGATTTTTTATATTGAATATAGTTACATAAAATCATATCTTTTATCTCAAAGACACTTTGTAAGCAATGCCATATTTTATATTTAATCATAAACATTCTCATATTATGTATTATTTATAAAGATAAATTATAATAAATATTTAATTATGCCTACGCATTTGGGAGCACTTTTAAAAATTTGATTTTGACATATATGTATGTAGATTATTTTTCCAAATTATTGATGGAATTATATAATTTTATGTTGATTTTAGATTCAAAGATGAAATGAGAGCGAGGAAATAGGAGCGAAGGCGAGGAAATGGAAAACTGGAACAAGAAAATGGAAAATAAGAACAGAAAAAATTGAGAACGAACAAAGGACAAAGAGTGCAACGCGGACTGAATTAAATAAGTATTAATTTAATCACATATAATTACAATCACACATATTTGCAATACATATGCCAAACTCTGCTATAAAAAAAATTTGTCATATGCCAAGGAAGGCTTAAGTCAACTTAACTAAAGAGTGGTGCGCCATTACCGATTATAAGTATCATTAGAAGGCATTAAGAAAATATCTAAAACTTTTCGACCGCTCTTGCAATTGGTTTGAAATAGTATAACACAAGGTAGCATCTCTTTCGGCAAGTTTTGATTGAAAAATTAAACTTGCGCCGAATTTCTTTTATAAACTCCGCATCTTAATCTTAGAATAACTAGTTTTTGATATTTTTTTATATTTTTTGTGTATTATTTTTTTGTAATTTTTTGAGTGGAAATTATTTTTGTTATTAAACGTACTCAAGGATCGAGCAGTTATAGAACATGAGAAAAAATTAATAACGAGCGCATATGACAAGTTATAAGGGCTTTACAATAAAATTGTGAGAACGAATAAATCAGGGTAAATTGAGTGCATCGAAAGTTTTTATCGTGCTCGTGGTTTGCAAAGGCGCGGTCTGAAATTTGTATACAATAATTAAGTAGCTTAATCTGGATCATGTGTACGGAATCGGATCACGTTGGGCGGTGAGCGGTATCACGGTATGGCCTCGTATCGGTATAAATGTTGCACAATCCTATGATTTATAATCGAGCAATTAGTATAGCTACATAGATAATCGAGATATGAAAGATGTCTGGTACCTAAAGTTAAGCGTTCGCTATTTATTTATGCGACAATTTACATTTTCTTTAAATAATAGCTGACTTAACTAGTTCCGCATTGTTGAAACAATCCAAGGAATTTCATTTAAATACATCTCATGTATTTATATATACGCAATCATATTTCGATGTGTTCTCGAAAAAGAAGATTCTCAAATGAATGTTTGACACGTTATTCGTAGATCAGGCAGTGTTCTTCGACATTTAAGATGATCCAGGTCCGATTAATCGCATTGAGGAGGCTACACCGCAACCTTCTTCCCCGGGGTAGCTTCTGGGACGCTACCGATTTAGGCTTTCGGTGCCTCCTCCGGCTGCGCATTTGCGGTTTCCGCTTCTATTCCGGTCGGCGGTGGCAAGGTCGGGATATCCGGATATTCGAGCTGAACGCCCTCCTCGCACTCGAAGATCGGACAACAATCGGGGAAACTCGCAGTCTTGTTGGTCTTCTCGGACAGCTTGCACTTAGGATTGGCTTTGGGTAGCGGGCCACAATCCTCTACCAACTCGAATAGACGTCCGGAATTGTCATCAGCGGGTACGCAAGTAGAACGGCCGCAGAACGGCGACAGCTCCCACGTCTTCGTCGGCTCGATGGTCGCGCACTTGGTCGACGCGAAGCACATGCCAGGGAAGTCTGCAACGCGTAGCGATATTTTGATTAGGAGATGTTAATTAGAGAAGACAACAAATTAAATGGAGAATATTAGGATATTAGACTGATTTATTAATAGTAGATTGACGTCTTCTCATTATCTAGAGTTTATTATGACAGAACGCAGTGCGCGAAATATTTATATTATTGATAAAATTAAGGAAAAACTATAAAGCAAATCTGTAGAGGAATTTGCTGAAAAATTTACGGATTCTTTTTTTAACGAATCGCGCTCGATTTTCACCGACAATGATGCATATGAAAGTAAAAGGCGAACGGATGAAACGCGCGGTGATTGCATTTCCTTAATAATGCGCTCACTCACGTGTGCATACATTATCTCATTACCTCGTTACGCGCCAAAAGTGTCGCTACTTTCTAATGCGCCGTGTGCGCCGGACCTAAGCGGTGTTAATGTTTGCCACACTATAATATTGCTCGTTAATTAGCGATCTAAATGATGGGATAGATAAGAGAGCCGAGAGAGAAGAGATGTAATAAAGCTCTTAATATAGTATTGCACATTACAGGCAATGAAATTAATCATTGTCGGTGATAACGATCGAAGATGTTTCGTATGCAACATCTTCTACTCGTAACATTTATCTTAACGGCTAATCGTTTAATTATCAATTTCAGATCAATTTTTTTTCTCTTGATGAAAAGAATCTTCGTTTTTTAATATATAATCTTTTTTATTATATGCGAACATATTTTTGAAGAATAATCTGCTTTTCTTATTCTGTATATTTTTATCAAGCATGCGGATCGAAAATTTTATATAAAAAAATCCCTTTCTCTCTGTTTACTGATATTAAAATTATACCGAGTAATACTTTATTTTACATAGAGAGAATTTTTCTTAGAATTTACCCTGATAGTCATGGTAATCGTGGGACAATATGGTATTGGAAGAATTTTATAAGAGTTTCTCTAATTAATATTTACTACAATAAAAATATTAATATCTACCACAATAAGGTATAAAATATGTTTAATTAATTTTACTATGTACATAATAAAATTTACTATACGTTATTAATATTTTTTATTGTAAATGTTAATTAGAGAAACTCCTATATAAAATTCTTCCAATATTGTCCCACGATTACCATGATTTTCAGGGTAAATTCTAAGAGAAAATTCTCTTCATGTAGAATAAAAATCGATGCTCGTGTATCGACATTGTGATCTCTCTATTTGAAACAATATAACAGAACACAATACTGCCTGCTGAGTTTAACGACCTATATTTTCGAGTAAAAGTCCGTATCTGCAATACAGTTAATGACAGTTGGAAATTTCACTTCCTCGATATAGAACCGTGTGCGACGACGATGACGAGTGCAATAGATGACGGCATTACGGGGCTAATTTGATTGTAATCTCGATACCCATCTATGTATATAGTTTTCCTTATCGTCGTCGTCATCGTCGGCAGTGATTGTGCTAGAAACTTCAAGGAGAAACACTTTCACTGTCACACGTCGGATCGGTCGGTTGCAACCTTTTGCGCAACGCGACAACGACAAATGTTGAGAGTAAATGGGCGTCGACCTGTTAAGTTAACATTTTCTCAGTTACATCAGCCCTTCGAGATTGTTTCGATGATTCACTCGTGAAATTTTACTTGACAACTCGAGAGAACACAAGGACAATCTTGAAATCAAAAGAGCTTTCTTAAAAAATTCTTTGATTAAAGGGTTAAAGTATAGAATTATGAGAGATACATTTAGACAAATAATTTATTAATTTTCAGTAAAATATAATGAAAAACGAATTTGATGCAGAAATATCGATTAGGAAACTTATAATTAAACAACTATTTTTGATTACAATTTATTCATGTTATCGCGATATTTCTTGCTGTCTCATATTTACCATATGTGCGATATTTATATTCGACGAAGACGAGAATCAATATAAAATTACGCATTTTGCAAAGACGTCAGAATGTCTAGTTGTGTGTGTTTATATATATATATATATATATATATATATATATATATATAAATATATATATATATATAATATATATATATATATATATATATATAATATATATATATATATAATCCTCTGTCTCGCGAGTCAGAATGTTATTTGCGAAATTTAAATAATGACGTGTTCTCGTTACCGTTTTCTCAATGTCATCGATACACTAATTAAAGTCATGATCGGCATTTACGGCACCGCTAATATATATCGTTGCGGTTTGCCTGTTTCATCAATCTACATGAAATAGCAAACAAGGACACTTGATGAAGCAAAAGAGCGCATCGTAATTCTATAAAAAATTTATAAATTAAAATTTGTAAACGAAAAATTAAAAAAAATATAAATTAAAGCTAATCGATAATTGCAGAAGAAACCTAAGAGAATTTTAAAACACACTTTCACCGGAACTTGCAAGAAGCGTAATCCATAATGACTCTCGAAACTCATGTGGAATTGAAGATTCGCAGAAGTATTATTTAAAAAAAATCGAAATTACCTGTACATAATTGCGAAAATATCTATTATTTCAAAATACAGAGAATGTCGATATCTTTCGCAAAGATTCTATGTCTTCCTAGAATGAATCTAACTCGGCAATCAAGAAGTTAACATAGGATAAACGAGAAAAGAGAAAAGTTATAATTTGTAATTATATTATGAAATCGTACGGTTCTCTTGGCGCTTCAATAATTTTTTTCGAAAGTCTCATGATGCAGGTGAACGAGTCGATCTTTCTTCGATTTTATGGTACTTGATTTCGCCTGTACTTTCATCGCGCGTACCAGTTGTCATTTCTGGCGATTAGACGGAGGTTGTTAGTTTTCACGGACGTTTCGCTTTCAAATAACGATGATACTTTGTATGCGATAAACGTATGCAGGAAATGTTACCGCACAATTTCACTCTCCGGTATAATTCTTTTAACCATAATAGCACAGATACACGTACATATGTGTACCATATAAAGAATGTATGAAAGGTTCATTGTGTTATCTTTTCAGGAGGAGAACTAAAGGAGTGTCGAGAGAGACTTATACTCGTGTTACATATTCAACGCAGAATCTTCGGGCACATCTGTAACCTTCTAAGATGCGACCAACGAGGAGATCTATCTTTCTCGTAAGTTTCCACACCCAGTACGTGATGCTGCCATTCGCTACAATTCGAGCAACGAGGTCGCATAATTTTCTCCGTCGTCGTGAGTAATTCGATTATTCATGGAAATCCAGGGTCTTTACTTCACAAATAGGAAAGAACGAGGCCACGGTAATTAAAGATCGATAGAAGGAATATGTCGCATCTATGCGAATATCAAGGATTTTCTCTCTGAGAAGCTCTCAAATTATGATTTATCATCGCTTGCGGTCGCGCATTTTTATCACAGAATATAATTTATAAAATCTCGCATTAAAACGACAATTTCTCTGAAATAATGGAATAAAAGATTGCTTGTATATAATACTATTTTCTTAATTAATCGAGAGATAACATTAATTTGAAATTTAATACTTAAATAATCTGCTAACAAAATTGTAAATGTAGGTAAATGTTTCATAGCTATCATGGGATTCATCTAGTAACACATTACAATTTGAAATCACACTAAACTTTATTTTTTTCAAATTGTGATATTGACGTGTATTATTTTTGTATTACGTTATAATTATGTTTAACATAATAGGTTCTCTCTTAAAGGTCTCTTCTTAACGATACATTCATATCGAGAAAGAGAAATTGGCCATTGCTGCACCCTATATAGATCGTATAAAGAAGAAAATGATATTGGACAAGGGAGAAGGAACGGAGCAAAACTGGTATCCGGTAAGGGGATCATAAGGTGATGGTTACAACACGAAACTTTCACGCGATCTCGTGATCTTGACGCCGAGAGTAATGTGCGATTCCTATTTTTCTCGACTTGTCCATGAAATATCACTGATACATCGTGTGAATCAGGAACCGCACCCTCGAGATAAAAAAAACCACGGAAATTACGCGTATCAAAAACACGCATGGATAAATACGGAAGGAGACGGTTATTACGGAATAAAAAAAGTGATATTCTCTAGCAAGGTCAGTACGAGGGGAAACGGGCGAAGAATAAGCAAGGATTTATAGAATCTTATCTTAGAATCCATGAGATTGCGGTAATTATAAGAAACTGTCCGTGACTTTTTTGTATCCGAATATCGATAGTAAAGATCTTCGATTCGAGATCGAAAGTGAATTCGCAATTTATACAGTTACTTTTTGAACAAAATTAAATTGGCTGCACAATATCCTTTAGAAAATATAATTTTGTAAATATTTTTTACTTTAGAAAATGTTTGAATGTAATTTTTATTTCTATTTATAATATGGAATCAATTTCGAAGAGAATCTGAATAAATTCTATATTGAATATTTCAGATATTTCACGTTACTTTAATGTAGAATTTTTTTAGAGTATTATTTTGTTTATCTTGAAGAAAAATGATAGATTCGAATTAATGAGTTTTAAAAATGATCGATTTAAATTACGCTGTTTTCTCTTTCTTCCCGCGAATGATTTTAGCGATACTTTAGCATGTCATCGAGATTCCGAGACAGTGATTTTAATGCGTGACTAGACATCATAAGACAGTTGAGTATCTTTCAAGGACCGGTTGAAAGTAATGACAATCGTCCCACTTGTAGGTCGTATGCACTGTTCTTTGAAATTCGGCCAGATACTTAACAGTGCTTCTCTCTCAATTGATGTGTGAGATCATCCTTTTTCAAATTTAGTTACGCTTTCAAGAAAAGAATTATATTGCTAATTTATTTTATAGAATTTCGCGTTTGTATGAACATTGTATAATTTTTATTATTTTTATTTGCGGTCCATTTTTGTATTTTAAAAACGCACTAATAAACTTGATCAAAATATATATCTTATGTTTAACAAATCTTAATATATAAATAATAGAATTAACTTGTAAACATATACTTATTCATCTCACAAACACATTTCAAAGAACGTGTTACGACATTTGTAAATTACGATTTATCTGTATTTTTTCTGCATAAATAATAATATATCTGCATAAATAGTATTATATTATTTTTAAATTTTCTTGCATGGAAAAAAAAGAACGCACTGACCTAAACTTTTCTTTCGACGACAAATTAACATATTACTTATCACACTATTTGCTCGCATTTTTAACACAAATTGTATTGTCAAATACATATCATTTTCTACAAAATTATCAAATAATATTAATATCATATTATATATATTGAAATCCATTATTATTTCAAACAATAATTAAAAATATTTCATGGTAAAAATATTTTTTATGATCCCTTCGGAGCTATTTTTCACTGAGTAGAGAGAAGAAAGATTACAGTATTATATATCTTATTCTATCACTAATAGACTTATGTATAATCATATTCTATTGATATAATTGAATGCGACTTGTGATTTTTCTGATTGATTTTATCGCACATTTAATCATAATATGATTCAAAGATTTGACAAGTAGATAAAATGTGATATTAACTGAAAATGAATTAATTTACAGGCGGCTTCTGTAAAGCTTCTTTTATAAATCAATTGACGAGGATATATCATCACTTACCACGAAGAACGTCAGCGGGTATCAGCCTCCGGAAAGTTTTTGGTCGTTCTTGTTCCGTGATACCTGCGGCGGTGACGAAGGCGACCGCGACGCACAGCAAGGCAAACCTGACGACGAGCTTCATGATCTCGAGAAATTCACGACTGATTCACCGGGGCCTTTCCTTTAGGCGCGGAAGGAAAAAATGGAGCTTCTTGTTTCGATTAAGACTGGTTGGGCCCGATTCCCGTAGCGGCATTTTATAGCCGGCTATCGGGCGGGGTCCCCGTTATCCCCACCTGATGAACATAGTCTCTCACCTCTTGAACCGCCAGTTACCGAAGAATCGCTTGCGACCGGAGCTCGAGTGGTGCCAGAGACACATCACAGGAATAAACACACGAGGTCCACACTTGTGAAGAAATAGGTAGGGATGCATCCTAGAGTGATCATATTCTATTCATAAGTATGCAATTTGTCCGTTAGAAGAATTAAAAGTATAAGGAAATAAATGAATACATGTAAAAAAATCAATGATTAAACATTTTAATTGAAGTGAGAAATTAATTTATTCTTCAATCGACGTAAAATATTGAATGCTATCTTATTCTATCTTATTTTAAATTCACGCCGACGCATTCTGTATATTTATTTAGATTAGGTATATCGATAACATATATGATTTATAGATCGTAAATGTAGATGTATGATATAAGCGAGATTAATTGGCAAACAACTACTTATTATCGCGTATCGCGAAATCACGGTGAACACGTTCTCCGGAGATTAATGAGTGGGCGTTGATATTTTCATCTTCATTCATTAGAAAATCTTGACGCGAATATCCGTCAATTTTTTTTTACGGTGTCATCGCGAGGTTCTCATTTATTTTGTCAAAATTAATACAGAGTTTCGTATTGATGAAAACGTCGCGTAATTGTGCGATGTAGAAAGACATCTGGCTATGAGTCACTTTCTACAAATATATAAATTAAAAATTAATATCTGTGCATGTGTGTGTGCGGTCTATAATTATATTATTTTAGTACTAAAGATTCGCCGATTCCCACAAAACAGATTGTAATTTAATACAACACATACAATCTATATGTTAAGATGCGTGCATGCACGTTGCGATTCTGTGCGTGTGTAACGTGCAAGAAAATAGTTATCGCGTTAGGATAATAACATAGGGGACTCATACCGTTCATTTTCAGCAATTACGAGGAGTCAATAACGACGTAATATTTATTGAAATATGAATACATATGCCACAAAATGCTATTTTCTAATATAAAATTTGGATCTCATGTATACGTTAATGAAGATAAAACGCGTGTATATGTCACTAAAAATTATTCGCAAGTTTAATTTTATGAACCATTGTGGAATCTCATCGTCTCGTATATCGAAAGAGATGTCGGGAATTATAATTGCTAAATAAGTTGTGCAACACTTTAAAAGTTGATAAATTTAATGGAATTTTGCATTCTGCATTCTGCTTAAAATTGATTTGAATTGCGATTTATTGCAATGAATAATTAACGAGATGGCTGTAATTATACACTAATCCGGCCATAAAAAAACTAGTATTATGACTATGATTTTTGTAAAACTACATTACACTAAAAATATCCTGATATATTTGCATTCTACGATTTATTATAATAATACTTTACTTAGTTGATAGTCTCGGCTGATCAATCGCATCAACTTTATGTCAACTTTTTGATGGCTATTTGTGTAACCGTAAAATTTTTGGTTGGAAACAGGTTGGAAACGAATTATGTAACAGTCGAATTTTAAGGTGTCATTTAATATGGATTTCTTGGGAAGACTTACAATTAGCATAAATGTTAGAGTGAACGCGAACGTTAGGAAAGCTGTGAACAGCTGATTCATTTTAGCGCAAAGAAATTACTTAAAGGCGCGCGACCTATTTGTATAATATAAATCGTATGTTTTGCAAAGTAACGTAAGATTACGCGAAAATGTTAGGCAATATTATCGTGTTGCATAATACATTCAAACCACATGCGTAGAATTAACTCTCGAATGTATAATTTTTTATTCGAATGCTAATGTTTTATGAATAAACGTATTCTATTATTTTTTGTATGGAATGTCTCATACAAAAGATTATGTGATATATGCGCGTTTTGTAATACAATTGAAAAATATATTATTAATTGAAAAAAATCTGGCCATAAATGTCTCTGCTATATGCTTCGAAAAAAAATAAGTTTAACTGCTATGATAGTTTAATTTTATTATTACACAATTTTCTGTCTGTAATCAATTTTTTCGTAAATTTTTATATCAAATCGCGTGCGATTTGATACAAAAAAATTTTCTCTTTAAGAGAATTATTATATTAATTTTCTCTTTTCTATTTTATTGATAATATTTGTTGTTTAAAGACTCTTCTGCAAGTGTATTGGAATGCAGCATTGGAGGCGGATATCTTTTGTGCATTCACCACGCTCTCAGCACCGAGTTGTCGTCATCGCCGAAGCGGAGGATGCGAAAATTTGTTTACCCAACTTGCTGCTGATGCTGCCGGCACCCTTGTGAATGATGCCACCCTTATGGAAAATATACCTCCGTTGATTTCATGGGGACCCCAGTGGTAAGCTTGATGACCTCAATTTTTGTTTAACTCGTGGTGACACTGACGATCTTGGTCAGAGAACCGGATCGGTGATTTCGCCTTCTTACAAGGGACATGTCACAACTGTCCGGAACCGATTTGATTCTCCTTGAAATATGTTGTTAAATACACAAATCTAAAAGACACGTATTTTTTTATACGTGCGCAATTTGAGTTTTAAGGGGTGAAACACCCCTTTAAAGAATAACGGTATTTTTCTTTAGGATCAAATATCTGCTAAACTATAAGAGATATAAAGAAAAAACGTACAACAAATTTTAATGGCTTGAAGAGTACTTTAAAGTTATATGAACAAAAATTTTTTTTTTTTTTTTTTTTTTAAAAAACCCTCACCACCTAATTTTTTTTTTCAAAATTAAAAATTTTGTTTTACCTAATTTAAAGCTTATTTTTTTCCAAATTCAACCATGTGTAATAAAGTTATGTTACGAAATATCATTTTCGAAAATTAATTATAAACGCTCCCGTATATACGCTCATCCGTGCTATGTGCGTAAGTAATTACCGTCGAACAATAAAATATATAAAAAATGTTTTTGTATAATTCTTATTTATGTTTTCTATGTATTTATAACTGTGTATTGTGTATATTTAGATTTTTTTAAAAATGTATTTGCATTTTATATTATTCACTCATTATACACATTACAATAATGATATTCGACAAAAAAATGTTTCAAACATAATGACTTCTTGCACCAAGAACATCTTACTACAGCTATATTATTGCAACCTTCGATATCACATTTTGTTAAAGTTTCGTCTAAACTAAAGTGTACTGGATTTTCGAATTCGTCTGGTCTTTCATTCGTATAACCACTTTTAAACCACGAATATTTAAATAAGTTTTGATATCGTGGGGATGACAATTGATTATGTATCAAAGATTGCAATTTTATTATATTATTTCGTTCATGTAAGTTTATATTACTTTCCAACAGTAAAACCGCATCTGAAAATCTTTTAGCAAAATTTTTCCAAATTCTGAATCCATAAACATCTAATGGTTGTATTTTCCCTGTAGTTCCTTTCGGTATTATCATAGTAGTAATATGTGTTCCAGGAGGTGTTAAATCCGAAATCATATTGGGGCAATGTCCAGTCCATGAATCGATAAGAAGAACGCTATTAGGACCAATGTTTGCGAAATAAGCTTCTTCTAACCACATTTTAAAATGATCTGTACAAAATATAAATGTTAATTTAATAGTTTTTTTATGACTCTTATTAAATTGTTAAATAAAATAAGGTTGTTAAAAAAAGTAATTATAAAAGGAAAATACCTGATGTCATTTTACCAGATTTCGATGCTTTTACAATAACATTTTCTGCTTTAAATAAATTTTCTTGTACTCTTGGTCCAAATTTACCATTAGCTTCTTTTAATACAATAAATAAAGGGGACAACAAATTGCCATTACAGGATATTATTGGTTGTATCGTATATGAATGGGTTGTTGATGATATGGATTGCACGACACGTTCTACTTTCTTTTCTCCCTGGTTAGACAATGATCTTCCAGAGTGAAGTTCCAATTGGAAACCACTTTGATCTGAATTGTAAATATTTTCAGATCCAAACTGTTCAATAAGAGGTTTTACTGTTTCCAGAAAATCATCAGCTGATTTTTGCAAATCAGCAGAATCTTCTAATGTTCTTCTAGTGACAAACTTCGTAACTTTTCTTGAAACAATTCGGTGAGACTTCTTAAATCTTGCTATCCAACTGTGAGATGCTTTAAATATAGGATTTAAATTTCCTATTTCTTCTTGAGCTTGTAAAGCCCATCTTTTTAAATCAATATCATGAACCATGAATCCTGATTCGACAGCTGCAGTAAATTTATCATGTGTAAATTTGGAGATGTAAGATAATTTTTCTGTACGACTTCCACCTGATTGTATTTGTTCTTCCCATCGCCTTAACTGACGTTCAGATGAAACTCTTCTAAATTTATTTTGTACTACTCTTAGAGGACGATTCCTTTTTCTGTCATTACTGTTTTCATCAGTGTCCCGAAATCGCCAATACTCAACAGCTCGTCTTTTATAAGAACTATCAAAATTTGTATCATCATTTGAACAATGAGGATGAGAATTTAAACTATCTTCATGCCATGCTTCTTCGTCATCTTCAATTATTTCAAAACTATGTAATTTATAAGGTTCTTCATAATCGAGATATATTTCTTCCGTTACTTCCACCCCATTATAATGAAAAACGCTATCCAGTAATATTTTTTTAATGTTTTCCTTTAATTCCACTTCTGCTTCAGTTACTGGCGTTTCTGTTAAATATATTGAATTTATTGACACCAATAAAAGTCTAACAACGTTAAGCGGATTGATAATCATATTCAAAGATGTTATATTTTGCTTTCTATTGCAATAAAAGAACAGTTTACACAGATATTATTACAACGAAAAGACTACACCGACTGTGAGAATTATGCTGCTACATGAACAATTTATATTAACTTATCAGAAATACGTCATCACATAATCTTATTTTATTATTTATTTTAACGTATTAAAGATTTTATTGTAAAAATTATAACTTATCTGGAACACGTACACATAATCTTATCTTATGATTCATTTAACG